CGACTCATGAAGGACGTGACGGCATTGCACAGCTTCCGAGGATACACCTCCGCGCGGCTCGCGCGTCGCACACTCTGAAGGTGGGCATGCTCTTCATGGCCCGGGCACTTACACTTGTTCAGGGTTGTTACCAGGCCGGGGTCGCTAGTCACTATCCTAGTGGGTCGCTTAATCGGCAGGTGGGACTTAGGGCATTTGAGGTCAAAGGCACACATGTGGAAGTCAACTTCAAAGGCGGGTCCTAGGCTTAACTCCTTCCAGGCCATTGATCCTACAGGGTTTTCTGCATGAATGTGTCCACCTTGCAGGGTTTGGAGCGACCACGCTTGCTCAAACAGGCTAAGGAAGGGCTTCTCCTGGCGGCGTCTAGCTAGGATCTCCTTTGCACTTGCACCACCCTTAGCTATGACACCCTTAGACCAGCTCGACCAACAACCACTCGGCCATGAGAACCACACGTCTTTGGGGCGGCATCTGCCCAGTAGCAGGAGCAGCAAACGACGGTCACGGGCACGGCTGAAGTCTTGACCGTATTCCGTTCCTAGTTTGATACTGGTAAGCCCTCGTCGGCGCTCAGACTGCTTAGAGAGCACCGCTGCTCCAGCAAACACCTCTATCAACCCGATCTCTTCAGCTAGCCTAGAACCCTGGGGACCTAGCCATTCTTGAAGTTCTAACTCAACCTGCTGGGGCTGCTCCTTGAGTGTGGCCAGGGCCAGCTGAAACGGAACTCTGCGCACTGCTTCGACCTGTCTGGCGATCCTACCTCTGCTATCACTAGGAATTGGGAGGTGACTTAGGGAAACCCAATCTACTTCGTCATAGAGGGCTTCTAGGGAATGTTGCGTATTGGGACTTTCTTGGATAGCAGGGGTGGTCTCCTCGCTTGACTGATCCGGCTCACAGCAGTCACACTGCTCCGTCGGTGTCGCTGTCGTGCCCGCCTCAGCACGGAGGGATTCAGGAGGGACATGTTCTGCAGGGTCAGGCAACTCAGCTTCAGGTGTCTTATTGGCACTGCAGGCTACCGGAGGTTGCACTGGCTGTGTCTCAGGCACTTCTGCCGAAGCGTGCCGGTAGGCGAAGATGCATGCTCCGGGCCGATCATACTCGGCACGCCTTGCGCAAGCAGGGCGGGCACTCCACTCAGACACTTGAAGCTCACCCTTCGGGGTGAGGTGGGCCACAGCTCGATACATGTCCTTGCTAGCAGCTTGCTTAGGCGTTCGCTCATACCTGGGTCGATAGGCACACAGGGCGCAGTCAACATCACCACCGAAAATCATTCGCAACGGGTGCCTGTGAGTGCCTACATCTACCTGTGTATATCTAGTGTGCTTCATGACTGTCTGAAAGTGCTTCCGTAGATCGGCTTGGGTGATTCTTACGGGCAGTCGTTCCTTCGGGGCAACTCGGTTATCAGCCGTAGTGGAATTGCAAGGCTCAGCTGCTTCACCCTCGGACGGGCCTTCAGGTTCCACATTGAAGGCGACTTCCTCGGGGCCTTCCTGGAATGACACCTCTGGGTGCACGTCCGGGAGGAGAGAAATCAACAAGTGACCGTTGGCGGCTTGAGCAAGAGGGGTTTGGGAAAGGCCATGCTTGTCACTTGTGATCGTAAGCTTTCCCAAGTCGAGCTTAGCTTGCATCCCTTCCAAAACCTTCCGGCTCAGTAAGAAGGGGGCCTTTCCGGGGATCACATACGTGGTGACCTGACCCCACAAGCATCCCAGGCGAACCGTCCAGCGAAGACCAGCCTCAGACATCGACTTGACCCCGTTGAAGCCACGAAGCTGCACAGGAGGCAGAGAGATGCGAGCCGGCTCTGGGAGGCCACGCTCCTTCCACAGGGCTCCGTA